TATACTTTCCCCTGAAACAAGCAAATCCAACAGTACTTCCCTAAAAGCATATTGTTCTCTTGCTTTCTCATAACTTTTGCCTTCAATGGCTAGCAAACTGACCTTTACTTTGACACCCCCTCGGTTATTACCAACCTCAACACAAACACCCTTGATTTCTTTCTCTTCTTCTGCTTCCACAAGGGTCCAATTCCAATCCAATGGAAAGCAATTGTGCGTTCGACGCAGATTGCTCTTACTTCCCACCAAAGCTACAGCTGATCAGCAAGGTTTGGATAATCTTCTTCAGATTTTGTGCGTGTGTTTTTGTTTTAGATGAAGATTTTTTTTTTTTTAATTTTGAAATTACTAATATCCACATCGGCACATTAAGTTAGACTAATTTCATGGTGATGGGTATGATATTGCTCGAGAAAGATTTTCTCCAGTGGGTTGAAGTTGAGCGTAGACCCTAGAGCTAAGAATATTGCATTTATAAGTGATATCCTACATGGCAATTTCTATTGTAGGGTGTACGGATTCTATGTGAAGTTAACAATACAATTGCATTGAGCTAAGATTGCATTTCTAAGTAGCATCCTACACTGATTACTGCAATTTCTATTGTATGGTGCATGGATTCTCTGTGCAGTTGAATAATTGCATTAAAGATTTTAGAGATGCAGAGACACTAACCTTTTCTATGGCATGAAAGATAGTCTACCTTCTACAGATCATTGTCTGAAATGCCAATAATTTAAGGTTTCACTAGAATTAAAATGCTGTTCAACTGTTTGAGGGTATATCATCTCCAGTTTTATAAACCATGATAGGTTTTTCCCATTTCATTTGGTGCACTACTAAATATAGCTTCTATATTTTTTTTCAGGAAAGACTGAAGAAGGTGAATTTGTTGATAGTAAAATTCTGCCATACTGCAGCATAGATAAGAAAGAGAAGAAGTCAGTGGGTGAAATGGAACAGGAGTTTCTTCAAGCACTGCAAGTAAGAAGACAAAATAAATCTTTCAAATTGTTTTCTTTTCAGTGTTTTGGCGTCTGATAGATAACCCAATTATACTAAATAATTGAATGGGGCTTTGCCTATTTGGTATTCCACTCAGAATCCATAATAAGAGAACTTGGCTGAGTGCCTAAATATGCAAATAACAAACTTCGCTCTAAATTTCTTCCATGTAGGCATTTTACTATGAAGGAAAAGCTATCATGTCAAATGAGGAATTCGATAATCTAAAGGAAGAGCTTATGTGGGAAGGAAGCAGTGTTGTCATGCTAAGTATGTCTACATCTATTTAAGCTTGAACCTACATGCTCCTGACATAACCTCTGATTGATTCGTAGACATTTCTTTGACTTATTTCATGATGCAGGTTCAGATGAACAGAAGTTTCTGGAAGCCTCAATGGCTTATGTGGCTGGGAAACCGATCATGAACGATGAAGAATTTGATAAACTGAAGATGAGATTAAAGGTTTGCGCTTTTTAACTTATCTAATTGATTTTCTGCTAAACTAGCAGATGCCAAATAATCGTATACACAAAAAATCTGCAATATGAATTGAGATTAAGCCATCAGCTGTACTAGTTTCTGCTGGGTATCCTCCTAATACAATTTACTTTTAACTGCAACTTTTATCTAGATGGAAGGAAGCGAAATTGTGGTTGAGGGTCCAAGATGCAGTCTCCGTAGTAGAAAGGTGACTGTTTGATCTATATTTCCCCATTTCCTATTGGGCTGCTGTACATTATCCATTCCAAGAAATAGTTTTCACTTATCAGCCTGTTTGGTAGTTTTAGTTGATCTTGTGCTTATGCAAATGAATCATTCAATGGCTTAACTCTTAATGATTAATTATCTTCCTGTAGGTGTATAGTGACCTGTCTGTAGACTATCTCAAGATGTTGTTGTTGAACGTACCAGCAACTGTCATAGCACTAGGATTGTAAGTGTATTATTTTTCTTGCATTTCTTTCTTTTTTAATCATTTTTCTTACGGTTTTATCAACTTTTGTGGAAAGAAATTTCTTCAGTGCATCCTTGAATTTTTGAGCGAAGGGTCATGCAACTTAGGAGGAAGAGTTAACCTGAATTGTTGTAATTATTTCTGTATGAAATTATGAATTTTTACCAACATGATGAGGTTCCTTAGTGAAATACTTACCATTTATGGTATTACCAGGTTTTTCTTCTTGGATGATATAACAGGATTTGAAATTACATATCTGTTAGAGGTAAATTATAGTGTCTTAACTAGATTTAGATATTAAATAGATGTGTTGCTTTATCTCTATAGACTCACTCTCCTATGTATCCTGCGAATGGCAGCTTCCAGAACCATTCAGTTTTATTTTCACATGGTTTGCTGCTGTGCCCTTCCTAGTTTGGCTAGCTCAATCTCTTACAAAAGTGGTAGTGAGAGATTCTTTGATATTAAAGGTACCCTTTGTTTATTCCATCTCAACATTGTATTGAACCTCTACATGATGTCAACGTTCATTTTTGCATTTGATGTTGAAGTACAAAGTTTGTGTTCTAGGGCCCTTGTCCAAACTGTGGAACTGAGAATGTCTCCTTCTTTGGGACCATACTATCAGTCTCCAGTGGAGGTTCTACTAACACCATCAAATGTTCTAAGTGAGTTTACCCCGTCCTATAATGTCCACATCAGTCCCAAAATTTTTGTTCTTGCTGGCTCTGTTTCTTCATTTTAACCACTTGTTTCTGTTTCAGCTGTGGAACTGGACTGGTGTATGATTCAAAAACACGTTTGATTACATTGCCTGAAGGAAGTCAAGCTTGACTGAAGGTATACGCCATGTCTAAGCCTAGAGTTCTTTAGTCCTTTAATCTGCACATCTGCTTTCATGCTTTTAATTCTCTTAATAATCGACTAAGCCACCGCTGCAGGATAAATTACTCCAGGGAATCGAAGATTAGGTTGTAGCTCACTCAATAAAGTTTGGGTGAAGTTTGCCTATATGTTCTAAACCTGGGATCATCATTTGCTGGGCAAGATGAAATTTTGAGATACACGGCTTTGTTGGATACATCTCAGTTGGTAGTGTGAAAATTAAAAGCTGTATCTGTAAGTACTAAAAGAATTGTATCATATCTATACCTATTACAGGTTTGAAGGAGAAAATAATAACAAATAATTTGCAATCATGAAAATATTTGATTCAGCAAAAATCACGTTCCTTGAATGCTTTTAGTGAAGTTTCTACAGCGCATACATATAATTCGCTATTTGATAACTAGATAACTTACGAGCAGATCAGAAATAGTCATAAACGGAATAGAACATTAACATGCCGGTGACATGCATTTCCACCACACAAGCCATTCAAACTAAGGCAAAAAGAAGCTTTCCACACCACATGCTGGACAGAAGGAGGACATATGGCACCTGTCAAACTAAAGAGGCTGTAAATGTGTTTACAAGTCCCACCGGTCACAGACAGACTAATAACTAAATAGACCAATGCCACCGCCACATCACATAATTGCCACATCCAAGTAGTCTCCAATCTACATTATCACAAAGAGCATGTAAGAATATAAAATTTAGAAAATTAAATATCAAATAAGGATGTCAATATGTATATTTTGAGATCACCTGGAAGCCAAGTTCAGCCAGTGCCTTATTGTCTTCTAGTCTTCTGCCATTTCCATAAGAATGGGTCATGCCCACCTACAAGAAAGTCACAAGGAGTGAAAGAAATTATGAAACAGTGAACTAGTGGGCACATGCCTACTCATGTTTGTGCAGCTAGGCACATGTGCCTGCTATCATATCTAATCTTATATGTATCACCCCATAATTGCATTAATTCTGTCCAAGGGGAGTTCCAAGGTTACAAGTTAACTAAAGCAGTAAAGCTACAATTATGAGCAGTTCTCTTCCTATTCAAACTTAATGAAACTATCTTACTTATTTCTCTTTGATAGCATGCAACAGAAAACATTGGATAATTGAACAAGTCCATATCTCAGGGTACAATCGCAAGAACACATTCATGATGATTCCACAACAGAAAAAGAAGAATATACCAGTCTCATCACAAAACGACCACGTTTATCAGGATAAACAAAAGCAAAAGACAACTTTGCATTCCTTCTTCTTGCCTCTGGAGCAACCTCTTTGACCTGACATGGAACCAGAATTAACTAAAACCACAAGGCACAAACTACATAATGGATGACAAATGGAAAAAGACTGATAGGAAACATACAAGATCAGTTAACTCGCGGAGTGTTGCATCTTTCCATGTGTAAATTTGAACCTCATCTTTAGGCTCCTTGCCCCTAACTGCAAACTCCTCTTCACTATGATGACTTCCAATCTACAGAAAAATTGAATGAGAGAGAATCTAGCACAAAAGGTGAAATATGTAATGAAACAAATTTCAAGACCAAACCTTTAGTTACCCAACATCTTAAACAGAATAGCATAGTATGCAAATAACAAATATCAGAAGCCGGCACATTGTAGTGAGGATAGGACATCCAACAAAGGGGCTCCCAGCTATGAACTCAGATAACATGAAATAATACTTCAATTCCAGAAACAAGAATGGACAAGCATGCAAATCGACAATGACAATGAACCAAAAAAAGTCCTAACCTTTAAAAGAGGAAAGTGATAAAGTTAAAATTGGCGTACATACCTTAGTAAAGACTCGAAGCAACAGGGGGCAAGTCTGCAGTTGAGAAGAACAAAATCAGAACAAAACATAAAAAAAATTAAAAAAGAGCAAACTTTTCCATAAACCCAGATTAGGTTTCTCGCCCAGAGGAGCTGAAAGATGAATTGACGCTTCAACACATCACAAAAAAATAAAAAAATAAAAAAAAATCGAATTCACCTAAGTTTCAGTTCGCATATATCTTACGAATGCGAATCAGGCATATCCAAGTCTGTACCTTTTCCCGATCAATGGGGTCGAGCCGGGGACGAACGGCAGGAGGAGGAGGAGGGAGCTTGTTCTGGGGAGGTAGGGGTCTCTTCTGGGCGGCCGCCGCTGCCATCTTTTCGTCTCCGCTGATCTCTTGCTCTCCGTTCACCCTGCCTTTTCCCCCCTTTTTAAAGTGCTTTTGGGTTTTGGGCACCGAATACGGATCGTTAATAGGCCCATTGCACCGACAAAGAAACAACTTTCAGGGCCCGAACAATTGGAGGCCCAGTTTTCTGAATATGTGGGCTCTAGCCCAATCAATCCCAATTCCTTTTTTATGTTGGGCTTGTACATCAGCCCAGCTGGCCTCACTTAAGTCCTTCAAGGCTTGAACCAAAAAAATAAATGGTTTAAGGGTGCACATTTTTACTATTAAATTGTATGTAAAATTACTTTCAACGCCCTTTAATGCAAACGTCACGTTAAATAATTTACTTAAATGTTTAATAATATTAAAATTAAATTAAAGTTAATTCTTATTATTTTATATATTTTTTAAAATAATTATTATTTTTCATTTTTTAAATTACAAATTTAAAGATAATTTAAGTTTTTAACTATATTATATTTAGAAAAAGTTAAAAGATAAAATAAAAGTTTTTT